AATATTATACAACATCAGCTTCAGGTGTACAGTGCAGTGATCAAGCCTCTACCCCATCTATGATGCGGTCTCCCTAGCAAGACATGTGACCACCTGACACCCTACAAAATATTTACATTATTAATTATATTCCTCGAGCTGTCTTTCATGTCCCTGTGGCAATATTGTAGTTATGTATTCCCCTCCCCCTTCTCCCTCATCCCCACCCCCTCCCAACTAGCAGCCATCAGTTGTTCTTCTATATCTCTGAGACCACTTCTGTTTACTTTGCTTGTTCATTTAGTTTTTTAGATTCCACATATAAGTGAAATCATATGGTATTTGTCTTTCTCCAACTGACTTATTTCACTTAACATAATAGTCTCTAAGTCCATCCATATCGTCCCAAGTGGTACAATTTCATTCTTCTTTATAGCAGAGTAATACTCCATTGTATATATGTACCACAGTTTCTTAATCCAGTCATTTATCGATGGGCATTTCGGTAGTTTCCAAGTCTTGGCTATTGTGAATAGCACTGTAATAAACATAGGGATACATATAATTTTTCAAATTAGCATCTTGGGTTTCTCTGGATAGATACCCAAGAGTGGAATGGCTGGGTTATACGGTAGTTCCATTTACAGTTTTTTGAGATACCTACATACTGATTTCCATAATGGCTGCACCAATCTGCAGTCCCACCTACAGTGCACCAGGGTACCCTTTTCTCCACAGCCTCGCCAGCACTTATTGTTTGTTGATTTATTGATGATAGCCATTCTGACCAGAGTGAAGTGGTATCTCATTGTGGTTTTTATTTGCATTTCCCTAATGATTAGTGATGTTAAACATTTTTTCAAAAGCCTGTTGGCCATCTGTATGTCCTCTTTAGATAAATGCCCCTTCATATCCTCTGCCCATTTTTTAATTGGGTTGTTTGGTTTTTTTGGTTTTCAGTTGAGTGAATGTTTTATAAATTTTTGTTATTAACCTCTTATCAGATATATAATTGGCAAATATCTTCTCCCATTCAGTAGGCTGCCTTTTTTTTATTGATGGTTTCCTTTGCTGTGAAAAAACTTTTAAGTTTGATGTAATCCCATGTGTTTGTTTTTTCTTTTATTTCCCTTGCCCGAGGGATTATCTCAGTAAAAATATTATTCAAGGTAATGTCTGCAAATTTACTTCCTATTTTTTCTTCTAGGAGTTTTATTGTTTTAGGTCTTACATTTAATTCTTTAATCCATTTTGAATTTGTTCTTGTGTATGGTGTAAGTAGGTGATCCATTTTCATTTTTTTGCACATGTCAGTCCAATTTTCCCAGCACCATTTATTAAATAGACTATCTTTACTCCAATGTAAATTCTTGCTTCCATTGTCATAGATTAAATGACCGTATATGGATGGTTTATTTCTGGGCTATCTATTCTGTTCCATTGATCTATATGTCTGTTTTGATGCCAGTACCATACTGTTTTGATTACTGTAGTATGTAGCCTTTTAGTATGATTTGATGTCGGGTAGCGTGATGCCTCCCACTTTGTTCTTATTTCGCAAGATTGCTGTGGCTATTCAGGGTCTTTTATGGCTCCATATAAATTTTCGGATTATGTATTCTATTTCTGAGAAAAATGTTCTTGGTAGTTTGATAGGAATTGCATTGAATCTATATATTGTCTTAGGTAGTATTGACATTTTAACTACATTAATTCTTCCTATCCATGAACATGGTATGTATTTCCATTTACTTGTATCTTCTTTGATTTCTATCTTCAACGTCTTATAATTTTCTGAGTACAGGTCTTTTACTTCTTTGGTTAAATTTATTCCTAGGTATTTTATTGTTTTTGAAGTAATTGTAAATGGGATTGATTTCCAGATTTCTTCGCTGATAGTTTATTATTGGTGTATACAAATGCAACTGATTTCTAAATGTTAATGTTGCATCCTGCTACCCTACTAAATTCATTTATCAGATCTAACAGTTTTTTGGTGGAGTCTTTGGGATTCTCTATATATAGTATCATGTCATCTGCATATAATGACAATTTTACTTCCTCCTTTCCAATTTGGATGCCTTTTATTTCCTTTTCTTGTCTGATTGCTGTAGCCAGAACTTCCACAAGTATGTTGAATAGAAGTGGTGAGCGTGGGCAGCCGTGTCTTGTTCCTGATTTTAAAGGGAAAGCTTTTAGCCTTTCCCCATTGATTACGATGTTTGCTGTGGGCATATCATATATGGCCTTTATTATGTTGAGATATAATCCCACTATTCCCACTTTGCTAAGAGTTTTTATCATAAATGGTTGCTGGATTTTGTCAAATGCTTTTTCTGCATCTATTGATATAATCATATGATTTTTATTTTTCATTCTGTTAATGTGATGTATTACGTTAATTGATTTG